ATAGGGATGGCTTCCAACCTAATAGGGATGGCTTCCAACCTAATAGGAGTGGCCTCCAACCTAATAGGAGTGGCCTCCAACCTAATAGGAGTGGCCTCCAACCTAATAGGAGTGGCCTCCAACCCAATAGGAGTGGCCTCCACCCAATAGGGGTGGCCTCCAACCTAACAGGAATAGGGCTGGCCTCCAACCTAATAGGGGTGGCCTCCAACCTAACAGGAATAGGGATGGCCTCCAACCTAATAGGAGTGGCCTCCAACCCAACAGGAATAGGGGTGGCCTCCAACCGAATAGGGGTGGCCTCCAACCTAACAGGAATAGGGATGGCCTCCACCTAATAGGGGTGGCCTCCAACCCAATAGGAATAGGGATGGTCTCCAACCTGATAGGGGTGGCCTTGACCTAATAGGGGTGGCCTCCAACCTGACAGGAACTTGCCCTGCAACCTAATAGGGGTGGCCTCCAACCTAATAGGGGTGGCCTCCAACCTAATAGGGATGGCCTCCAACAAAATAGGGATGGCCTCCAACCTACTAGCGATGTCTCCAACCTAATAATACGGCATTCCCTCCAACCTAGTTGCAAAGTCTGTTGCCATGACTTGGAGAATGCTGTGAGGACAGGCGCTCATCTTGGAAATGAGCTTGAGGCTTGAACTTGGGGACGAAAACGAGATCATGAACTTGGATTCCACCGGGGCAGCTTGACACAGAACCAGAGGAACTCGACACTTTGCCGTCGACGGTTATACAAAAGCATCTATTCACTTCGAGTCCAACCACCAAATCGGACTCCCCCTGGAACATGTGTCCAAAAGTGCAAAAACTTGTCGCTTCCAGTTGTGAGTGCAGAATTTGGGCCACCACACCAGTTAGGAGAGATGCGCAAAACAATAAGTATATGCTTCTCCTGCATGGCAAGAACATCCATCATCCTGCGTCCTCCACTTTGCCCAACAAAAACAGACTAACCCACATCGTTGTCGCATGTTTAGGCCTAAGCCCTAAGCCTTAAGCTCTATAAGAGTTACGGTGAACGCCTCCCGTATACACTTGAGAGAGGAAGGGGTTAACGAAAGGTAGCAGGCAATCACAAGTAACCCTGGTAGAAGTCCATGACGGCGTGACCCGGCGCAGGGGGGATTTGATCCAGGGAGGTGGGGGGGCCCCCCCCCCGACGAACAGAATCAACTCTTACAGGACCAAACTCAATGCACAATCCCAACTCCTGATTGTAATACATTTTTGCATATTTTTGCTAAAGCAAGGAGAACTCAGGTTGCTCAAGCTACCTTTCGTGATTATTTTCACTCTTTCTTTGGCATGCATATGATCACAACACTTCTCCCCAGGAGTGTTGGGGTCTCCAAGCACCAGAACAGCTCAGCCCACTCAGCCCCAGTGGCTCCAGCTCTTCCGGATACCTCCCTCTGGCCGCAAACTCGGTGCGCGGCGGCGCCGGCGGCGGCATCGCGCGGGAGCTCCGTCCGTCCGCGTTGCCGGACGCGGAGTGCTCCCGGGAGCCGCGCGGCGGCGCGGAGTGCTCCCAGCGGGTGGAGTGCTGGGGTCGGCCTCCGTGGCGGACCGGCTCCCGATCATAGCCTGGCTCCGCCGCGCGAGCGGCGGTTTGGTTCGGCCCACCAGTGAGTGTGATTCAGAATGAGCAGTGCGTGGTGTTTAGCCACCTGAACGCATTGGAAGAGATTCTGACTTCCTCCAAGAGCAACACTTGAACTTGAGCACGGTTTGGCAAACTAAACCATCTTAGAATACTATATATATATATTATATATATATATATTATGGAGAGATTCTGACTTACCTCGAGCAGTTACGGTGAAGTCACGTGAAGGAGCATTCGACTACTTCACCAGTGGGGACCTCGGATCTGGCTCGCAGCGAGAGGACGGACTTCGCCCTTAGCCCTGACCGGCCAAGGAGTTCAGTTCAGCAAGCTGCCTGTGACACCGGTGACGTTGGGCACACCAGTGACTGGCACAGTGTGACACTGATCCACAACTGTCCTCCAAGCCGGATCCATCCTTTTCACGCGTGAACCGTGCTGACTTGCGGTGGTGTTGTGAAACCATGTCATTGTCTGTTGTCTCGTGTCCTAGTTCTCCTTATGCATATGCTATAGTAATGCTATAGTATATATATAATATATGTATTATAGTATAATATATATAATATAAAGTATAATATAATATAATATAATATATATAATATAATATAATATATATCTGTGTGTGTATAAGGAAATGTTGTCTGTTGGTGCTGTCATTACGTGCGTCACTCTTTGTTGCCTGTCATGGGCCGCTGGGCGGGACGGCATGAAGGTGGAATGTGGTGTTGACGGCACGGGGCATTGGCATTGCTGGGGACGTGTTGTGCGCTGTTTCGTTGCTCTGTTTGTTTGTCTTGTTTGTTTGTCTTTGTCCTTGGACTGCAACAGGAAAAAAAAGGTCACGATAGATCACCATGTCTCCCGAAGTCTTGGATTTGCGGCTCCAAAGCTTGGGCAAAATGTCATTCGAGTTGGAGGAGTTCATCATAGGGAAAAAAACACCCCACCTGATCCGCAAAACCCGTGAAATCCACCATGCACCAGACGCACACGTCCTCGGCGCCTCGGCCTTTGCCGCGATCGCCCTTGCCACGGTCGCCCCAGTCGCCCTTGCCGCGGTCGCCCTTGCGGTCATCGCCTCGGAACTCCTCGGGGGGGCGGGGCGGCCATGCACAGTCCAGCCTTGTGAAGGGTGAAGTTGCAGACGGATCGGGCGAAGTCCTGTGCGTTTCGGTTCTTTTTTGCACGTGTTGGCTTCGAAGTCCAAGAATTGCAGGCTTCAGCCAGAACCCGAAGACTGGGCACCAGCGGCACGGGCTCAGTTGTTACACTCTTGAGCCTCAACAAGAAGAACATAACACGGTTCACTGTTGGATCCTTTCACACTTGAAACAAAGCATGGACAACTGCTGTGACGACAGCTGATGCAGGGGGGCCACTACTGGTATAATGTTTAAAAAAAAAGCGACTAGGGGCTCCTGGCCTTACTACCAGGAGCAAAGACGCTACTAGGGACTCTTGGCCATACTACTAGGAGCAAGGACGCTACTACAGGGGCTCCTGGCCTTACTACTATTTTCCTTTTTCATGTGTTTCTTTTCTCTTTTTGTTTGCCTCGCCCATCTTCTCCTGCCGCTGCCGCGGAGGCGCCGGCCGCCCGTGCGCCCGGGTGAGGCGCAGCCGCGCGGTCTCGTCGCCGCCGTCCAGGCGGACGAGGCGGCAGCGACGGGCGTCTTCCACCAGGCGCAAGAAGTTCCTCATCAAGTGGCTAACTCCTTCTTGGTGGCGATTTCTGGACGAGACATGTTCTTGTAACGTCCTTTCTGTCAAGAGCTCGGATGTTGTCACACTCCAAAAGCGTAAGTAAGACAAGGCAATTATGGTCGCGCTTGTCTTCGCGCTTCCATAATCTGAGGGAGGGTAAGTCCTTGGGGGAAGCTGAAGGATGAGGTGACAGTGTCATGGAACATGCATCGACGGGTCATGAGGGTCATGTGTGACTTTACGTCGCTCACGCCGGGATGTGAAAGACTTCCCCCTCATGCACTGTGAGGCCGTCTAGGACATAATTACTGAGATTGATCTTGGAAGATAGGGCAGCAAACTTCCGTGGCTGTCGGGAGCGCAAAGGGTCCACTTTCAAAGCTGGGCACTCATACTCCATCTGAAGACAGTGACATTGTGCTTTCGGAAAGCTCAGTCCCGACAAAGAAGGACTGTAAAATCAACAAGTACTGCAACAAATCCCTCTCGTCACCAAATCTGACATTGATTCTTGGCTTACAGTGTTGGAGGCTTAAGTCCTTGAAGTCTTTTCTTTTTGGGGGGCAGGGCGATCTTCTCAAAAATCGCCACCTCTCAATTAACAGACCCTAAATTCATCTCCATTAAAATATAAGGGAACTGGCCGAGTCGCGGATTCGCCACGGTGCCTGCGTTAGCCCCGCCGTTACCCCCCATGCCGGCACGCACCGGTGGAGCGAATCCTCCCGTCCCAGTCACTCGAAAGGCGTGTCGTCGGACAATTGCGGATCCAAGACCGAAGTCCTTGGGCCGGGCGCGTTTTTGTGGCGTTCTTGGATGCGTTTTTTTCGGATGTGGGAGGGAAAGCCGACGGCGGCGCAGTTAAGAACATGATCCTCAGTGATAGTTCTTCTTGGGTTCCTTGTGTTAGTTTGTGGTTCCAAGCCCTCCCCTGTGATGGGTTGATCATGGAACAAGTGCCCAGGCTTCTCAGCCTATGGAAGACATTCCCAAACAAAAGCCACAATTGACCTCGGCAAGAGGCACGCAGGAGTTTTCGCCCGTGAGCCAATTCGCTCACTTGGGAAGGGCCGAGGCACCTGGGCCCTCCAGGCCTACATAAATAGTCTCCAATCACCTTCTCAAAAGGTATGTGGATCCATAGGGGTATATGTTTATTGTGTTGGGACCTAGGTGATCTACCCGCCAAAGCCTTGCGAAGCCTCGGCGATGCCCCCCCAACAATGCAGCTGGAGTTGCTTGGGAAAAATCTCCAAGGTGTCCTTCACCTCAGGACCCGGTCGGGGCACTCCAAGGTGACAGCGCAAAGCTATTAAGAGCTATGCAAAGAAGACTCCTCCAACCCAATAGCGATGGCCTCCAACCTAGTAGCGACCGGATTCTTGGGGGGCAAACAGTGGCAGTATTAGATGGTCATGGGCTTGTGGGAGGGTGTCACAGATTTCAGACCTGTTGTATTTCCTCATGTTCGACACATGGCCGTTACCTTTGAAACCGGCTTCAAACATGTTGCCCTTCTCTAGAGGCGCATCGAAAGCTGGGAGAATCAGCACCGATCATCGAAAGCTGGGTGAAGGGCTCTATGACCATCGACCATCCATCCATCCGATGTTAGGCGCGCGCCAAGCATGTGCGCGCGCCAGTCGTTGCTTCACAAAGGTCATGACCACGAAAAGAACCCCAAACCCCCCAAACCCCGTTCTAAATAATCACGTCCTGTTTGTTCCCCATTCATCTCCCCCCCGCAAAAAAAAGAACAACCTGACACATCCCCGAGCAGCACCCTGCCCGACGCGACCCGAAAGCACCCGACCGGACCGCCCGAACCGACCACTCCGGGGCACCATCTCCAGCAAGTCCGAGAGCTTGCCAGCGCCGAAGTTCCTCCAATCCGCTGAACGCTACAAGACGGCGTGTTTTCAAACGTAGAGAGGGGCCTAAACGGGCTGTTGGAAAATGAAGTTGTTTGAACAGGTGTTGACTTGTTGAATTTGTTTTTGTTTGAATTGCTTTAGTGTTCACGCCGTCAATTTGCATCTTGTTGGATGCCTCATGTTCACCTGCTGCTGGCAATATTGACAACACTTGGGGCATCCGGGACATCATATCATCCACTTTCGATGCTTTGGGTGGGCTGGGCCGGAAGTGAAATTATATGAAATTATCAACTTCCACTGCTATTCTCAGAATTCAGGGTGTCCGTGTTCAGTTGTCGCTGGTGTCGTAGCACCAAATGGACCTCATATTCTCCATGATTGTTGCCCTGCCGGAGCTGGAAGGGCGGTGTAGATCACGCTAGTTTTTTGCGCACGTTGGACGGCCTGTAAGCCTCAACCTTTGTTGCCATGGCTACGCGCAGCACTTGAACGGCGAGTCATGGGTCAACGAGAAATGGGCTTCAAGCAACATCAGGACACCACCTCTGTGTAGTGTTGGGCAGGGAGCCACCGAAGCGCATACAAACAGTTTTTCTTTGAGCGATTCAGTTTATGTTTTTTGAACTTTTTTTTGTTGAAATCTGTCGTTTTGTCACTCTGGGGGTCTGAGGGGTAGAGCCTTGTTTGCGACTCGTTGTCTGAGCGACCGCAACCGTTGTCAACCGTTCGCGGGTGAATGTTCGTGGCAGGCACAGGGAATCGTGAAGTTGCAAGTTGTGGTGGAGGTCAATGTTGGTGTGACCGTGTGAGCGGGTGTTATTTGGAGGGGCTGGAATCGCGAAACTGCTTGGCAGGGCTGCTTGATGTGTGTGTGCTCCGATGGGGCTTCCCGCTTGACTTTCGGAGGAAGTCTCGTGCGAAATGCTCGTTTAGGAGACTTTGACATGCCACTTTTGGAGTGTGAAACGTTCGTTTTGGAGACTTGACGCGTGACTTTTGGGGGAAGTCTCGTACGAAACGCTCACTTTGGAGACGTGACGGTTGACTTTTGGAGACTTTACTAGTATAGTGCCCCACAAGAGTGTCAAACAAGAGTGATTCGCAAAAGTGCCCCACAAGAATGCCGTACAAGAGTGTCCCAAAAGAGTGTCCCAAAAGAGAGTCCCAAAAGAGTGTCCGACAAGAGTGTCTTTCAAGAGTGTTCCACAAGAGTGTCCCACAAGAGTGCCCCGCAAGAGTGCTCGACAAGAGTGCCCTACAAGAGTGTCCCACAAGAGTGTTCCACAAGAATGTCGGACAAGAGTGTCTCAAGACTGCTCCATAAGATCCATAAGAGTGTCCGACAAGAGTTTCCTACAAACGTCTCCCACAAAGGTCCTACAAAAGTCTCCCGCAAGAGTGTCCAGCAAGGATGTCCCACAAGAATGCATCCTACAAGAGTGTCCTAAGAGTGTCCCGCAAGAGTGTCCCACAGGAATGCCATACAAGAGTGTCCCACAAGAGTGTCCGACGAGAGTGTCCTACAAGAGTGTCCACAAGAGTGTCCCACAAGAGTGTCCCGCAAGAGTGTCCCACAAGGGTGCACTACTTGTAGCGAAAATGCAATGTGGGAAGCAGCTCCTGGGAGCTGCGCCTTCAGGACAGGCCACTTGGTAGTACACATATAGTACGGAAGCTCAGAACTGTCCACTTGGTAGTGCAAATGTAGCTTCTGAGAGCTGTGGCCTGAGAACTGGCCACTTGGTAGTACAAGTGTAGTGCGGCAATCAGCTTCTGGGAGCTGTAGAACTGGCAGCTTTGTAGTACAAATGTAGTGCGGGAAGCAGTTGCTGGGAGCTGTGGCCTCAGAACTGTCGAAAATACATCTGTACGTGAGTGTCGTATGTGAGTGTCCCACAAGTGTGTCCCGCAAGAGTGCCCACAAGAGTGTCCTGCAAGAGTGTCCCACAAGAGCGTTCTACAAAAGTGTCTCCTAAAAGGCTATCAATCATGTTTGGGCGTTAGTCTTCGAGCACGTGCTTGCATTCTGGGTTCTATCTTGTTCATTAGACCTAGTTATCCGTTTAAGACTTTTTAACTATATACAGTAAATGCTTCCTTTTTGAGGCATGGTTGTTCCTTTTTCCCCTTAAGTCTTTAGACCATGTTTTTCGAATCGATTCATTTTATTCTCTAGACATGTTGTCCTTTCATAAGATCTTGTTTTTCATGTTTGTCATGCTTATTCTTCAGACCTTCTTCGGCAAGCCCTTTCAAAAAACTGCTCAATGTTTAGATTTGTGGGCAAGCAGCGAACTGGGGATACAATGTGCAGAATTTGGAGGGGGTTGATGCTCTTCCTTGGTGAAGCTTCGGCTCGTTAATTGCATGCAAGCGTTCTTTCTTTCCTGCCTTCTTAGAAGTGATGGCCTCCAACCTAATAGCAATGACCTTGCATCCAAGCTTTCTTTGCTGCCTTATCTCCTTTCTTGGCTTGCTTGCTCGTGCCTTGCTTGCAGAGAAGAAAACAAAGCAAACAAGGTAAACAAGCCAAAAAGCAAAGCAATCAAAAACAAACAAACAAACAAACAGAAAAGCAAGAAGATACAAAGCAAAGAAGCACAAACAACACAAAGCACAACGAGCTGCAGAAAACAAAAACAAAATATTGTTTTTAAAGCAGAGCAAAGCAAAGAGACTGCCTTAAGAAAGCATGCAAGGTATACATGCGGTATATAAAAATACCGAACAATAAGGCCAAAAACCACAAAGCATGGACACACTACAACGATATCAAAGCGATCCCCCCCCAAAAAAAAATAAAAAGCAACAAAGCAAGAAAAACAAAGCTCCAGGAGAGGCAGCAAAGTCCAACAAAAAATGGCATAGAAGCAGCACAAAAGCACAGAAGCCAAGAATCAAACAAGCAGAGTTGCCGAAAGAGCAAGGCGAGCAAAAAAGCAGGAGAAACAGCAATGTCAAGAGCATCACCAAAAAGACACAACAAATAAAGGCAAGAATCAGCAAAGACTAAAGAAGGAGGCACTTAAGAATCAAAAGCAACAGTGCAAAAACACATTCTGAATGTATACATGGTTTATTGGTTATATACAACTCGCACATCGTTCTACTTGACCGCGCCTGAGGCCGATCGGCCGTCGATAGAAAATCTCGTAATAAAACTCGGTGTGGCTCTCGTGGAAGGTGACCTCGTTGCACGAGCTGCTTGTTGCTGCGCTGTAAAAACAAAAACACCGAACAGTGGAGACGTCGGTGCGCGGAAAAAAGACCAACAAGAACAAGAACAACAGCTCGAAGAATGCCAGGTTGTTTCACTCCAAAGATTGGACATGGCTTGAGAGTGCACGATCCTCCAGAAGCACATCTAAGCACTCCCGGGATGCTGACACGTGTGCAACAACCCCAAGCTCACACTCCAGTGGTTCCTTATCAGGTGGGGCATCGATCTGGAAGTCTGATCAGAACAATAATATGCTCTCATACGCTAGCGGATTGCTGCCGTGTGCTGGTAGCTGGGCAGCATAGATCATGGGTCGCAAACCCACTCCTTATAGATTGGCTGTTTTTCCAGCCGATCGTCTTGGGAATGCTGCTAGTTCACACCGGATTGCGGTGTACGCCAGTGTACGCTTCCCTCCGAAAACCAGGGCCGAACCAGCACGAAGTCGCGACTTCACCTAGGCACTCGCTCCGGATCCTGCATGGCATGCTTATAGCCGTGCACCAGCAAGTGCAACTGGACCTGCCGAGGTCCAAGCTCCGCCGGTCCGAAACGACCGTGGCGGACGTCACCGGGCGCGGCCCACGTGTCTCGGTCCTTGGAGGTCTTGCGGGTTGGAAGACTCGGTGTCGCTGAAGAAGTCGTTTGTTCCGGGCATGTTCTCAACAAGCATCGCAAAGAACAGCCTACTTAGAGCCTCAGCCGTGGAGGCAGCAATCTTTCATCTAAGAATCTAATCAGTAGACTCCCTTGCAAGATTAATACACCTCCCAATTGAAATTAAAAATTCTCTTATATGGGTGTTTTGTCAGGAGTCTAACTTCAAAATTACTTGACCAGCATCACTCGTCCTCGAAACGTGGTTCAACCCACTCCGTTCGCCCCCACCGCGGTCCGCTCGGCACCCCACCCGCAGTTCTAACAGCTGCCAATCTTCCCACGTGAACTTGGAGAACAGGGGCTCACCTGTTCCTTGGCTGGTGGGGCAGTGTTCACACCATCACTGTGGCAAAAAGCTTGTTGGGGCACGGACAGTGCTGTGTAAAAAAAGCAGGTTCGAGTGGCGACAGTGCGAAGAACACACCAGGAAGATCGTCCATTCTTGGCCCGAAAGCGCCCAAAGAGGCATGTTCCGCTTCGCCTCCTTTCACGGAGTTTGAAGGGCTTCCGGAAGACCGGGTCGTCTACTACACTCCGACGCACACATCACCTTGGGAAGTGGAAAAAAAACTGTTTGTAAAGGAAAGCGGTTTGAAGGGACCATCCCATCATCATCTTCCATGTGATGTGTTCGTCAGAGTGTATGTTTGTTCTTTTGGGGGGTGGGGAGTGTTCAAACGCCAATCTGCCCATTTGCTCTTGGCAGCTCACCCCCTGAGGACACTCTGGCCCGTGGCTTTCTCTGGCCTTCATTCGAGGTTCCGATTGAGACAGCCTATGCTGCTGAGCTTGTTGCAAAGTCTTGGAAGAAAGAGAGACATGCTAAATGTTGACTTCTCTGATGGCTAAGTTGTGGTCTCTTCCGGGTGGCTACAAGCATAAAACTTTAAAGGGAGCTTGAATCGGGCATCTGAGAAGCAGAATGGCCTGCAATATGGCATTTTATGGTCACCAACCAACTATATAATATTTTATATAAAGTACTTGTAAATATATCCAAGACCATCCATGTATGCCATATTCGCCTACATTGAACCCGACTTCAACCACCCCAATGTAGGTAAATATGTCAGTCCCAACTGTCGTGTTTGGGTATGGTATTATGGTGTGCCGACCAACCATCCTGGTCTGTTGACGGGAATGCGAAGGCCACCACCTGGAAGCAGGATTGCACGGCGTTTGGAGCCTTCAAACCCATGCAATGTCAAAGACCTCATTCTTACTTTGCACCGGTGAGTCATACCCCAAAAAAAAAAAAACTCAAGGAGGTTGTCAGAACCAGGTTTTACTATGTTTAACTGGGTTAGGACGTAGGGAACCCGTTTTACACTTCAAGACGAAGAACCGTCGCAGGGCTTCGCGGAGCCGACCGACCTTGTTGGTGGTCGGCTCCATCACTACCGTCACCACCATCACCAGGAAACGACTGATGTTTTCTCTTTGAGCCGACCAAGGAGCCGATATCGGTGACATCGAGCAGCTTCCAGGGATCCACCTGGTTCCGCAAGCCGAGAGAGGGTTTAGGGTCCCCGGAAGGGTCCCCGGAAGGGTCCGGGAACCAGACTTCTCTTAGCGCTCTTAGAAGCTGAACCTTGCTTGGATTTGCGGAACCGGAAGCAAACAAACATATTCCCCAGAAGATCCCAGCTTTGGGGACTTTTAACCAGCTCGGGAAAATAAACAAATCATCTGACATGCAGTTCACCAGGGAAATCAGGCACAGCCAAGACCATGCGTTGTCCCTTGTGCGCTGCACCATCATGAACGCCCAGCGAGGTGCCCTCAATCCGGTTTGCCTTGGGTGTGCACCTCTTCGGGTCCAGAAAATGAGAATCGCCCATGGCCCAGATCAGCTTTGCTGGAAACCGAAAAATGGGCCTGGCCCAAAAGGGTCCTTTACTGAGAGGTTGCCAACTAATGATCCTGATGCTTCTTAGTGTGGAGTGGCAAAGAACTGCTACCCCCTCCGCCCGCATTTTCGGGTGCACTTGTCTCAGAGTGGATGAAGCAAGTTACTTCGCTGCCAAAACAAGCTTCCGTCTGGCCTACGACTCTCCCAGCGTCTTGAGTCATATGATTATAGTGGAATTAGAAAGGCTGGTGGCTGCGCACAATTTCCCTAGTGCATCGTTGTCCACACACACAAACACACACACTGGATGTTCAATCATCTTTCATCTACCACTTTCCCACAGGCTTCTTCTGACTTGGACTAGTCGGCTGAGAGTGCGGTTTAGGGGATTGCCCTCTACAAGTCCCTTAACCGAACCAAATGGGGATGCAAAAAAACCAAGAGCCAAGAACATTTAAGTATGTCACACTACGTGTCAAACCACTCTTGTCGAACCAAGCACGGTGCCGATCAAGTACGTCTCGGCTCGATGGTCTTGATCCAAGAACCCTCCGGTATCGAGGGGGGATGCGGAACCGAAACCACATGAAGCCACAACATGTCGAATCTTGAATAGGCTCCCCGAGGCTGTGCCGGCTATGCCTCGTCAGAGTTCTCCGGCTGACCCTCGGACCTGTGAGAGAAGATTTCGCGAAGGACGTTGATGGGAGGAATGGCGTGCCCTCTGAGCACGGCGCAGTTCGTGGTTTCGAGAAAGACTTGAAAACAAGCCGTTGGGATGAATAATCCCATTGAATTCATGTTGACACATCGCAAGAGGTTGAAACCCAAGTGCGTTCGTTGTTGGGTAACACCCCCAACTAACACGTCGACCAGTTGAACTGGGCGATGAGGATGGCGAGGCGTGTTGACCAAGAAAAAGGTTAGCGGTTAGCCGCCTTTGAGTCCGGTACTCCGACATAACCTGAGTGACGAAAGCTTCAGTGACGGTAGCTCCGTCGAGGGTAAGGGATCTACAAAAAGGAAGTACAGCATAACTAAAAAATATGTGCCATGCAGAGATAATAACAAAGGGATCATCAAAGTAATACAGTAAGTACAGCATAACTAAAAATACTGTACATCAAAATAGAAAGGGATCATCGGATCCGAAAATATACCCCCAGTGAGCGAAACGAAAAGGAGACTAGATGGAGACTAGGGAAAGGACAGCAGCAGGGCGGGCGACCAAAGGATGATGCAAGGATGATTACAACAAATAATGCAAAAAAGAAACTTAGAGTCCAGGGTATGCAATATTTGGTGTGGATATGCGACGGGGTGACCTTTAAACACTCGGTCGCGGCAGGCCCAGTGGGGCAAAGCAGTGCGGATTGCGTGCATAGTACCGGAGCGGGGTTGCAAAACTACAAAAGCCACCAGACTCTGAAGGCACCACAAAACAACTAATCATCGAAAACTGCACACCCTCTTGCCCAATCAATAAGAGGCTCATCCACCACAGGAGCATGAAAGGATGCTTGCAACCGCTTCCAACACAAATCAAAAAGACTTACAGTCGGCGATATTTGGTGTGAGCGATGGATGCCTGAGTGACCTTGAGAAATCTGGTTAGTCGTGCGCGTTCTTTACAGATGTTTTTGGCGTCTTCGTTCGAGGCAAACAAGCAAAGAAAACAATGGCTGTCCACAGCATCCACTTCTTCCACCTTTGGGGCACCACCAAGCAAGCGATTTCATCTCCACCAGGGTGGGATCCAGCAACCAGCAACGAAGTGGATGCCAGGATCACATGATGATGATATCTGTACAATTGATTCTCGGGGGTCTCATTGAACAGGAAGAAACACATAGAGACAATATCTAGAAAGGCATCATTGATTAGGTACCCATTGTGGATCTGCTGCTCGCACACCAGTGAATTCACCCGAACAAATACATTCCAAAGTTTTTTCCATTTCCATTTCCATTGACGCATAGTGCTCGGATCAAGCTCAGCGTCTTGCTGACTTGAATTCATTAATTTCTTGCACAGAAAAAGTCAGGACCAGGCTCATTCAGTTGCTGGTCTTCAAATTCCAGCACCAAACTGTGGAGCCACTTTGTAGACTCCGGGAGCACTTCGGTCCTAACAGGCTGAGACTCCAACCATAGTCTGAATAATTGGGCACCGAAGGAGCAAAATTGCGGTGGATATTCCTTCAAGTGGCTAGTGCGCCACTTGCCTTCTTTCAGACCTATGTTGGAGCCTGTAGCACAGGCTGCGCTGCGCATCTGCTGTTCGCAGTGCTGTGCCTTGGTGAGCTCAACCCCGGATAACATTAGGGTGGTAGGTTTTGGGCTGTCCGCGCCAAAGAAACCTTGCAGCACATCGAGAAAAACAAAAAGGTTCGTTTCCTCAAACCACCGCACTATCTGCGTCATCCAAATAGATGGTGCTTTGGTGTGCCGTGTCCCCCCTTTGTGTGGATTCCGAGGGTGCTCTAACCAAGAAAAACCTCCAGAAAGTGCTTGCAACAGTACAGCTCTCAAGCAGAAAAACATAAGCACATTTCCTATGGAAACTTGCTGGCCTTCACGCTTGGATAAGCTGCTCAGACCCCAAAGTTGAGGATCGCATCGTACTGGCCGTGGTCCTCGTTGTAGTTTGTCCGGAAGGCTTTCCCAACGAGCTATGCTCCAGGATTCGCACGGCGGCCCACCATACAGCCCTGCGACAAAGCCTCCCCGTATCAGGTCATACCACAATTTCTGCTGTTTTCCTTGTGACAGATCACATCTTGCCGGGTCGATCGCGACATCGACCGAGACAACAGTCATAACTGTTCCTGACGGAAGCGGCAAGCGTTCGAGCTCCATCTGTATGTCTCGTTCTCGTCGGCGACCACTGAAAAGATGCAGAACAATAAGTTCAGTCGGTAGGAAATTCCGCAGCTTCGGGTCTGTGGGGATACATCTAATCGAACTGCGGTCAGCCTCATCTGCTAGTCTTCCTTCATCTCCGTGGGCATTGGTCACAAGGGCATTCTTCCCTAGTTCGGTCAGCCAGCTTTGAACAGCACAGCCAGCATGAAAAATTCTGGAATCTGTGGTTTCAAAACCCTGTGTCCAGGAGTGAAGGCTAGCGCACACTATCGAATAAGGCACCGCAACTCGACATGCTTCTTGAAGTGCGGCAGTTAACTGCTCTACAAATTCGTCTTCCCGTTCAGGACACATGAACGTGTGAAGCGTCTCATTCAAAAGACTTTTCACTTTTTCAGTATCTCTGTCAGTCTGACGTGGTCCCTCAAAGGCATCTTTTGTCAATCGATACCAGGGAAACTGAGGGTGTTCCGAGCATGACTTCTCATGTGCAGGAAGATTCTCTCGATTCTGCTGGAAAAAGGCTCGACAAGTTGCACTGTATCGAAGATGGTGTCGCAATCGTTCTTGCGACAAATACACCTTCGCACAGCAATGACAAGTTCGCCCCTGTACTGCCTCACCAGATTCACTCACGTAATTGTGTTTCTGACAAGCATGGAGAAACCATCCCTGCGGCGCAGAAAAGGCTCGTTCGCAGATTACACAAAAATGCTGGCCATGCTTGGGTTGATCCAACAGTGACGTGAGTTCATGCACACGAAGAATGTCAAAAATGCTCCTATGTTCTTTGGTTGTAGCAGCATTTCGCAGTTTCGCCTGTGTTGCTCGGTACAGGGCTGTTCGCCCAAACCGAGACCATTGTTTTGGTTGTGTTGCTAAATGCCGCCATGCTTCTCCATCATGCAGGTCCTGGATTGGAGAATCCCTGCCAAGCAACTCTTGGGCCCATTTCAGAGACTCACAGTAAATGTGCATCGCACTACTATCGTCTGCAACTAAGGACCAGAGAATATCTGGAGCAGTTCTTAGAAGAGCTCCAAGATAACGAAATCTTGCGATCTGCAAAAGGTCATATGGATCCTCACATTGCAGGAAACATCTGATGTCATCCCTAGACGGAGCCAGCATTGTACGCGGCAACATCATCATATAAAGATTCCACAAAGAGGTAGTCCAGGCTTGTCCTTCGCGTTGGTTAAGCTGTGTCCAAGCCCCGGCACCCCATGTCATGATGGATAAAACAGTTGATCGAAAAATAGTCATTCGTGTTTCAAGTGGGATCCTCTGCTGTCGGAAAACCTGCTTTGCAGCCCTCCAAAAAGCAGAACGTGCCTTTGAGAATCTTGTTCGAATCTCAGGAAGCAAACTTCCACTGGCATCAATGATCCCTCCTAGATGTCGATATTTGGGTACAAGAGGGAGTTGAACTATGGCGTCATCCAGCAGAATCGGAAAGGTTGCATTGGTTTCAGCAAAAAGCCGCCTTCTCATACGAACTGCACCTGGTCCTCTCGGCGAGACAACTGCAGCAGTTTTTGTTTCACCTATGGACACTTTCATGCCATATTTGTGAAGCTTCTGCATCAGTATGTATGCTATCGTGGCCAGCTTGTCTTCGATCTGCTTTGCATTCTCGAACTCAGCGAAAATCGCTAACTAAGTCGTCTGCCCAAGTAACTTGAAACATAGGTAGGACACATTCAGGAATAGTGCTCTTGTATGGATCGCGCACTTTCGCAAGTGGTACATGCAGGAGCAATTCTTGAGCCTCAAGCTCCTTTTGTACCTCTGCTAAGACCTGTGAAAATACAAGATTGAAAACTATGTCAGCCAACGAGTCACCCGGCCGGGTGCCACGGTGTGTTTGGACAAATTCATGTCCTGTGTAGCTGAAATATGTGCCTTCCAATGTTTCTTGTAGTACTTGATGCTGCACAGGTCCTGCTCCAAGTTCCTGGTACGCACATTTCTTGGTCATGCTGTCATGTATGAGGGACATGGACTCGGGACCAAGACCCATTCTGTGCAATACCAGTGCGAGGTCATCATCGGCTAGTCGGGCGCCGGTCGCAATCTGTCGCAAGACACGATAATAGGCCGATTGTACATCGCAAAAAAGTATTGCAGTACTTTTCTGCTTTCTTTTGCCTCGATCGACGAACAAGCGTGATACATGCGTACCGAAAAGGACCTGTTGCATAGGCTTGCCACCCAGTTGAAGGTCATCAGTGGCCTCCAGGTACGGTTTATTGAGCCTACTCCGGATGGAGGATCTGACCGCTTTACCAAGTACAGAAGTCAGCAAAATGCCTCGGTGGTTTTGACAGTCGGACTGTGAACCTTTACCTTTGAAGAGAGAGATGATTTGCCCCCCTTTCCATTGTAGCGGCTCTTCCAATCTAAAAATCATTTTCAAAACGACAGGATAGAGCACTGCAGCCGCATCACTTGGACATGCCTTCAGCAATTAATTTGGCAATCTGTCCGGACCAGGGGCTTTGCGGTAGCTCATTTTTCGAATTGCCCTTTCAAGATCAATTCGGCTTGGTAAATCATCCGACTGGTATTCGCCTGGCTTGCACAAATCATGCTGGCGCTGTAACATGGTGTTCATGTAAGTCGATACATCGGTCTCCCTTCCAGCCTCAAGTTGAGAAAAGTGCCTGACCCATCTGGCATTCACCTCCTCAAGAGTCTGTAGGACATGACCTTCTTCATCTTGAAGCACTGGTAAGGGCTTTGGAAACAGCGTTTGCTTTTTAGCAGGCTGGAGGATAGGCCTTAAAGCGGCAAACACTTCACTGGG